TGACTCATATTTGTGAACAATTTCATTTCTATAAAATAGATTGTTGGCACATGGTATAGTCATTTCATTTTACAATGAAAGTATATTTCAAGAGTAAAAGAAAATGCAGATGATTCAGAAATTTTGAAACATGAACTGATCAACTGGAAGTAAAAAAGCCAAAAGCTTTCTCAAATATGTTTTAAGTAAACTATTAGAGTCAGACTGGAAAGAAAATTTTAACTTTGACCAGAATTTTAAGACATTTTAACTATTTGTAAAATCTTATAATATATAACCAAAATAAACAGAAATATATGGAGATCAGTCTTCTGATTGGGCTCAATGTGGAAATAACACATTATACTGTTTCCTAAAAGTCACTAATAGGACTTAGTCAAAAAAAGAGAAGAGAAAATTCTAAGGAAAAGGGATCTAGTAATTAAGCATTTACCTTCCACGGGGGAGCAGGAAGAAGATAATCTCAGCCAGTATCTCTATTCAGCAAAAGAGGAAGCTCCGAGGAGCTAAATGATTTGGCTACATCTCCCCTACAGTTCTCTACGATTGATAGCGCTGCAATCAGTTCTAAGGATCTGTTGTAAGGATCCATACTGATGAAAACTGGTTATAGCAAGTGCTTGCACCGTCAGCCATGTACAAATGCTGTTTTTGACTGTACTATAATCATCACATTTCAACCTGAAGGGATTAAAACCTCCACAAATACTGAAGCATATTGAAAGTAAATTTAAAACCAGTGGGAAATAGAGTGTGGTTTAAAAAGTTTCATGAAATCAGCAACCTTAAACAGAATTACCATTTTTGCCCCAGGTACAATTTCAGAATGGCCATCAAAAGCAATCCTTAGCATATTTCAGTGTTTCAAATTCTATTAATCGGAAGGGAGGCAAAACAATTTTGTTTGGATCTGTTTTGGACAAAATAAAGTTTAATTAGAGACAAATATCCATAATTCACTTGAGAAGCAGTCTTTTTTTTCCTGGTTTTTTTTTTCTTCTTCAGTATTTTAAAGTTACAGTTCTGAAAGAGATGAAAAATGCTCCCTACTAACTCTTTCATGGTCATTGTGGACAAGAGTTCTGTATTTTGCGAAACGGAAAGACAACCTATGGAATGGGAGAAAACATTTGCAAACAATGTGACTGACAGGGGCTTAATTTCCAGAATATACAAAGAGCTCATACAACTCAACAACAAAAAAACAAGGTCCTACTGTTCAGCATAGGGAATTATATTCAATATCTTGTAATAACCTATAATGGTAAAGAATATGAAAAATATAAAAAAAAAACCAGTTCTATGTTTTGGATCTTTTACATGACAGGAGATAAATGCTAAAATCCATCAGCAGGTGATGGAAGGAATGAATTCCACAAACACTCATCCAAGTTGCAATGGGAAACCATCTATTCTCACAATTTTCAGCCATATAAAAATTAAAAAAGGAACACTGTTATATTTCACAACCATGGATGAGTAGCTGATCACAGCTTTCATAAAATATGCATGCCAGCACTTCCCCCACAATCACTTCAAAGAACTATTCTCTTGTTCCAAACAATTTCAAAAGCAAAGGAACTACCTATAGACATTTAGAAAATGAAATTCTGCCTAGAAAATAATTATTGAGATCAATAAACAACTAAAATTGGAAATGGGTGGGTGGGGGGGTCTTGGATTTGTTTGGATTCTTTCCTAGAGAGTTAAATTAAGAATTATCAAGGAAAATAAATTTCAAAATACTGTATAAACTCCTTTAGAAGCTACATATACATAAGCACATATTCTCTTATCTGTTAAAAAAATCATCTCCTGACACTAACAGATATACTACCCTGTATTGGTAGTACCATTTAGGATCCATAAGATGGCAGGCCTAGATTTCAGTGATAGCCTTATAAGTGTACGTATACTGGTTGCCTTGAAATATACATTCCATAACATCAGCAGTGTGTGGCTAGTAGTTTTATTAAGAGCATCTATCCGATTAAATTTGTTAATTATGAAACATGGGAACTAATAACAAGCTAATGTATTAGATTAGTTCATAATGAATCACAAAATATTACAGCTAGAAGGAAACTTACAATCATCTTTATTAGTCTTGCTTTTCTCCATATAAGGAAACCAGAGCCCAGTGCTTTGCCCAAGGTCACATGGCAAAGGGAGCAGCGGAATCCTGGTTTCCTTCCTCCCAATCTGTATTGGCCCTATCGTTCATTATATTTCTCCAACTCCTCATGGTGGCATCAAAGTCCAACGACTGCTCTGCCCTACCTCACTGTTCTCAAGTTCCTCTTTTGTACTTTTCCACAGGCTGCCTTTTACTTGTCAAAGTGTCTCTTGTGAGTTACCACATTGTTCTGTCTGGACCCCAGGCATGGAATTCCACAGCTCTCTTCATAAATTTGTTCATGTGCTTCTTAAACTGGGGTGTGGTGATATGGAGTGGTATTTGAAGCTACAGGAAAAACAAGTCCTATCTCTTAGACAGTTTTTGGAAGGGCAACATCCTTTTAATTAAAAGGAACATAAAATGTATTTGTTTTAAACATGAAATACATGAAGTTTCAAAGAAATGTGTGGTTTTGAGTAGACTAGCTCAGGCTACACCCTCAGGCCTGCAGTAGTAAATCTCTTCTATCCCTTATCTTGTCAGGGATACGCTGGTGAAAAGCTTAGAGGAGCACAGTCCGCCCTCAGTATCCTCGAGTTCTGCATCAGTGGACTCTCCCAACCACAGAATGGAAATATACATACACACACACACACACACACAAAATCCAGAAAGTTCCAAAAAGAAAAACTTGAATTTGCTGTGCACTAGCAACTAGTTACATAGCATTTATACTATATTAGGTACTATAAGTAATCTGGAGATGATTTAAAGTATATGAGAGGGTGTGCATAGGTTGTATGCCATTTTACATAAAAGACTTGAGCATCTGCAGAATTTGGTATCCACGGTGATCCTGGAACCAAACCCCCTCACATCCTAAGGGTGACTGTATCTGGTTAAAAGACTCCTCTCGTTCAGAACACAGCCCAGAGTCCACCCCGTCTTCTGTGAAGTACACAATGTCATGTTACACTTGTGTCCTTAACAGATTGTCCCACTACTGCCTAAACACAGTGTAGATGGTTCTAAGATAAATTTAACTTCTATATATGACAAGCATTACATTATAAACATTATAATATAAATCAAATATCAACTATTATACAACTATCATATAGGATAAATATGTAACAGATAGAGACAACTGGTTGGAAGAATCCTTATGGGCAAACAAAACAGTTGATGGAATTAATAAAAAAAATAGTACTTTGAGAGTTTTATACTGACTTTATTCCATTAAGCATTATGTGCTACAGAGAAAAGTACAGAGGTCCAGGAAGGAGAGCTGGAGGACTTTTGACCAATTATCTAATCTGTCTTGGTCTGCTTTCTATTTTCTCATATGTAAAAGAGTGCATTTGGTTGAAATGGGGGAGAAAGTATAGAATTCTAAATGACTTTTTCTCACCCTTTGCTCTACCATCCCTTTGGCAAGATTTTTTAATGAATGTAATATAATTACCATCTAAACCTTTTTTCTATATATTCTGACAGTGATTAATTCAGTTACTTGAAATATACTTACTTCCTTAAAAAATCTCAGCATATTGGTTAGAAATCAGTAAACTAGTCAATGTTGTGAAAAACAGACAGACTGAGGAAGGATTCCAGATTACATGAGACTAGAGACATGATGCCTGAATCTGGGATTCTACTTTGCTGTGAAGAGCAGTATTGGGACAATTTGCAAGTTTTGAATAAAGACTATAGATTGGGCAATATTGAACAATAACATTATGTTCTTTTCCTGATTCTGATAACTGTACTACAGTTATGTAACAGAATGACCTTACGTCCAGAATTGTACACTGAAAGGTTTAGGGACAAAGGGGAATCATGTTTGCCGCAAGAGAGAGAGAGCATAAGAGAAAACATGTGAATGCACCCGTGTGGTAAATGTTTACATTTGGAAAATGAAGGGTATGTGGGGATTCTTTGTATTATGCTTGGAATTTTTCTGTAAGTGTGAAATTAGGTCAAAATAAAAATTTAAAGAAAGATATCAGGAAGAGAACTTGCTTGATGGCTGCATACAGAACTACAATGGAAACCACGGGTAGAAAGATTAATGGGAAGGCC